TTTTCTGGAAGGTTTTGCTTCTTAGTTTTAGACGCTGTTTTAGCTCTTTTTTTTGTACCATCCATATACATGTATTTTTTGACCTCTTTTACATTGAAAAAATTACATTTTAAGTAAAAATTTTGTTGGTTTCTTTTCTGGAAGGTTTTGCTTCTTAGTTTTAGACGCTGTTTTAGCTCTTTTTTTTGTACCATCCATATACATGTATTTTTTGACCTCTTTTACATTGAAAAAATTACATTTTAAGTAAAAATTTTGTTGGTTTCTTTTCTGGAAGGTTTTGCTTCTTAGTTTTAGACGCTGTTTTAGCTCTCTTTTTTTGTACCATCCATATACATATATTTTTTTACCTCTTTTACATTGAAAAAATTAAATTTTAAGTAAAAATTTTGATCGCTTATTTCAGGAAGGGAAGGGTTTAATATGCTGAACATAGAGTGTGAAGTCTTCATCACATGGTATCATTTCTCTCTGGGAAAATAAAGCATTATCTTATCAGTTGCTTGCAACAGAACAAACAAAACGAGATGGGATTCCCCGAGTAAACAGAGCCACCATGATTTTAACCATGAATAAAACCAAAGTGGTGTACAGGCAGAAGGTTAGCAGTCTTCCCTAGTTTGGAAGATTATCTTATCTATTATCTATTAGTGGTGGCCGAATTTTGCTATTCAAAAGGCTTTTAATGGCTGTATCGATCGACATGTGGTTTTCGCCAAAAGATTAATTAAATTATTCTCCAGATCATGACGCCCTTGGTTTTTTTCTGTTTTGAGACAGTTTTGCTGCAAAAAGCTAAATTTCTTTATTTCGCCGATCGCTTTTGTAGGCCGACGCCACGGTATCTGTAATTTTAGAAAACCCGGAAGGGATATTTCGCGAGGCGCATTTTGTTTTGAGAGTATAGATCTAGACCTAATTTTTTGCATCTCTCAAGATTTATAGCCCCATTCCAGTAGAGTGTAAATTTATATGGTAGGCCAATTACTTTTAGTTGATATTAAAGCACCGATCATTCCTTTCATCGAAAGGGGGCCCAGCTAGTCATATTATATTTGTGAAAGTTCTTCAATTTGGCCACCTAAAACTTCGGAACCACTTAACTTTCGAATTTGAAAAAAATTAACGATGGTTCAGAATCATTTAAAGGGTGCTCATTTCTAATGAGAAGTCTGAAGTCATCGTAATTTAATTTTCAGTTTTTCATTAGTTTCGTGTAGGTCTATTTTTGGGAAAGTCCGTCTTCTAAGTCGCTATTGTAAACAAGTGAGGCTTCCGTTCACAAGGAGTGCGCGCACTGATCCCCCACTTTTGAAATTCTGGAGTGTACAACCACGAAAGCGGAAGAGAGAATCAACCTATACATCACTATATCTAAACCTTCTAGCCAATTTTTTTTTTCATTTCTCAGGATTTATTGCTACATTCCAGAAGAGTGTAAATATAGTAGGTCATTGACTTTCAATTGATGTTAATGCACCGATCATTCCTTTCATCGAAAGGGAGCTCAGCTAGTTGTTCATAACGGTGCGCACTAAACTGTTGATATAGTGAATAAGTGCGACAGAAAAAAAGGGGGAAAATCTATTCATTCAGACATTCACTCCCTCACTTATTAAATAAAATCGTGGGGGTCTATTGTCTATTCTAGAATTTAATTCTTAAAAGATAAAAACCGAACAAAAATATGAAAATATCATGAGTGTTACCATAAAAGCAAGACAAAGCAACGTACGCTTCCTGCATTTTACTCCCAGGAATGTTTCATCTTGATATTTTTCTTTGTAATTCTGTTATGCGAATTCAACGTAGCACTCACTAAGAAATCTCAGTGCTACCTTGCATTTCAGGTAGTTCAAGTTCGCTTTGTGTATTGTTACTTTATAATGTAAAAAACTCTTTTACGTTTTTACCAAAAAAAAAAAAAAAAAAAAGCTTCCAGGACAAAACCGACTAGAAAACCTCCCCAAAACTCAGGTTTGGAGTTTGTATAGATTTGCTATGCTTGAAAGAGTCATTTCTTCCTCTTTTTTTCATTATCTCAGATTGTTCAACTATGATGCAAAATTAGGATTTACTGTTCATGTTTCTTTCTTTTTTTTTTTTACATCTGTTTTTTTCTTAATGCCATATCTTTGTGTGTGCGAGTGATGTGTTGGGCATTTGTATTTTTGCCTTTTCCTATCCAGTTACTTACATCGCAGGAATCATTTCAATGTTTGGACTAACTCGTTGTTGTGG